TGAAGTAATAATCCATTTCGTAATTCTGTATGCAGATTTCATTCCCACTTTGAATAATGAAAATCTGTCTTCAAATTGCAAAGTTCGTTGAGGAAATGTCTTCAAAATTGTGAAAAGTATGAATATGATATTAATGATAATCTGATATTAATGATAATCTGATATTAATGATAATCTGATGATAATGATAATCTGATAATAATGATAATCTGATATTAATGATAATCAGACTTCAAATTTGTAAATTTTGATAGAAAATGTCCTCAAAATTGTGAAAATTAAAAACCAGTTAGTTATGCCGCGAGATTGCCTTCTAACTGCTGGCTAGAAAATTCTTCCATTAGTACAAGGAAATTTCAGGAAGAATTTCTATATTTTTAAAGGAAATTCTGAGGTAAAAGCCAAAAGAATAATTGATGAGACGACAGGCGACGTGACAGCCAAACGAGACGAAGGCTCACAGGCTTAGCGCGTCTCAAGAAAAAGACGGCGGCGCGGCGAGGCCTAAGCGGACTAAGCCTGTCAGCCACGTCACCTCAGCCACGTGATGCTCCACAGGCTCAATACACATGGATTATTATCACTGGCTTTTGTACATGTAAGAGGAAAGTTATCCTAGTCACTGCCAGCCAGCCAGCCAGTCAGATATCTAGCCAGCATGACAGCCAACGCCACAGCCACCCACATGGCTGGCGAAGACGAGGCCCTGCCCTCTACCTGGACGCGTCACAGCCACATGGCTGCGTGCGTCACCGCCATATGGCTGGTGTCCATCAGCCAGCTGGGAGTGACGTCATCACACAATGGCTGCCGCCGGTGAAAAAATCCAGAGGAAGCCACGAGGCCTGACGTGCGGGAACAGAGCTGTTCCCATCGCACTGCACTGTTCTCATTACACTGCACTGTTCTCATTACACTGCACTGTTCTCATTACACTGCACTGTTCTCATTACATTGCACTGTTCTCATTACACTGCACTGTTCTCATTACATCGCTCGGTTCATATTTGTCAGGTTTCGTTTTTTAAACCATGAATTAAATTTAGTTTTTTAAATCCATGAATTAAACGTTTAAGGTAAATTAGATGTATTAGGTAAGGTAAAGGTGCCAATAAAGGTAGGAATGCGGGACAGGCTACCTAAACGAATCGGAAATTCATGCAAATGTTTTATTCTGTTTCGCAGGAGCGGAACGAAGAGTTCCCTACTGGCTGAGGTGCCAATTAAAGGATGACAACAATTTGGTCAAAAATTTCCAGGCGCTTTCTTTTGATCAGGCCAACGTAGGACAGACGGAAGACAGGCGGTATGACGGAGATGGACAGACGTTAGGATGAAGCCAGACAGTAGGAGTGCTGCACAGACAGTGGACAGACGCTAGGATGAAGCCAGACAGTAGGAGTGCTGCACAGACAGTTGACTGACGCTAGGATGAAGCCAGACAGTAGGAGTGCGACACAGACAGTGGGCAGACGGAAGGATGAAGCCAGACAGTAGGAGTGCGGCACAGACAGTGTGCAGACGGAAGGATGAAGCCAGACAGTAGGAGTGCGGCACAGACAGTGGACAGACGGAAGGATGAAGCCAGACAGTAGGACTGCGGTTGGCCGCTGTTGCTCGTATTTCAGCCTTGATGTCTTCCGGTGCGGTTTATCCTTTCAGGAAACACGGTGGAAAACATCCCCTCAGAAACTATGATGTGAAAAGGGCGTGTATGGTGTCTCTGTGTTGTGTATCGTGATTGGCTGTTTATTTACAATGCAATAATTTCAAATGAACACACAAACAATTATACCAGACTTCGACGAAAAATATTAAGTTTGTTTTGGGTCTAATTTGATTTCTTACTTTGTTATTAATCGATGTTTCAAACATTCAGGGATAAATCGAGACACTGTCACGTGGCGAGACCTTATGAGCCATCATGCTAAGCATGCAAGACTCGAGACATAGTCTCGTGACGAGACCTAATGAGCCATCATGCTAAGCATGCAAGACTCGAGACATAGTCTAGTGACGAGACCTAACGATCCATCATGCTAAGCATGCAAGACTCGAGACATAGTCTCGTGACGAGACCTAACGATCCATCATGCTAAGCATGCAAGACTCGAGACACTGTCTCGTGACGAGACCTAATGAGCCATCATGCTAAGCATGCAAGACTCAAGACATAGTCTCGTGACGAGACCTTATGAGCCATCATGCTAAGCATGCAAGACTCGAGACATAGTCTCGTGACGAGACCTTATGAGCCTTCATGCTAAGCATGCAAGACTCGAGACATAGTCTCGTGACGAGACCTTATGAGCCATCATGCTAAGCATGCAAGACTCGAGACATAGTCTCGTGACGAGACCTTATGAGCCATCATGCTAAGCTTGCAAGACTCGAGACAGTCTCGAACATGCTGGTCGGAGTTCCGTCTCGTAAGTAGTTTTATTTTCCCATAACATCCGTGTTATACATAACACAAGCTGCCAATGTATTCCACACGGAGTATGTCGTGACTTGTACTTTTGTTGTACGAACGGAAATACTTCATTTTTCATTTACAGATCAGTGCGAATTTATATATTAGATGAAAGAGAGTTGATTACGAATTTACATTAGCTTGCCCAGTTATACATTGGCCCTGTTGCTGTTAGTTATAGATTATAGGTGGCCCAGTGTAACGTTAAAGTACTGAGTACCAAGATATTGGCGCAGAGAGGCGCGGGTTCGATCCCAGCTCTGTGCGCCAGTTTCTGGTCAGAATCGGCGAGGAGGCCGGGCAGTTAAGCAAAGAAAAATTGTAGCAGTGTTGCGAGTTCAAGCCCGCAACAAGCTGTGAATGTTCTGCAATGTTAAGTATCGGCGACAGGCCTACGGCCTAATAAACGCTGAAACCGCTATATTATCATTATTCTAAGTAGGTGCTCAGACGATACCAGTAATACTGGGAGCCTAATTAGTCATATTGACAGACTTTCCAATCCAATTTTTTTTCACAGTAAAACCAGCCGCTGTCAAGATGCAATCTGTGTGAATTAGTGATTCAAAAGGAACAAAAAAATTTGTAAGAGTTAATTAATTTATTTGGGACACTTGGACAGGCCGGAGGATCATCAAGATACAGGATTTAACCACTAAGAAACATTAGGTCAAATTATCTATAACCGGTAACAGCAAGAGATACAAAATAGCAACAGTTAGTTCCTTATGCAATTATTTACAAGTATCGGAATGGAAAATTTGTATGATAAATATACATTTCTCCAAAACTCTCAATGAGATCGTCTTTCTACAGTGCAAATTTTTGGAGGGTAAATTTTTGTGTGTTTTTTTTTATATTGTTTCAGCCCTAACACTCGATCACATCTGCTTGTTCAGTTCAAAATACGAATAAAGTGGTTGGCTCTTCGGTCCAACGACAACGCAATCGCTACAACAGCTATTTTACAGTTTATAGTCAAAACGAATGAAGAGACAAACTTTATTATAGACCATTAGAAATGTGCACAAGTTTGAAGTAAGAGACCAATTAAAATGTACACGAGTGTAAAGAAGTTAAAAGCTACAATTTTAACAGATCTAATCCGTAATACTAGAAATATAACGAATAACGATGCTGAACAACCATTTGGCATTTAACACTTATGAAGTTCAAAGTTCTTGCCTTACCAAATAAGAACTTTAGCCCATAGCAGGTCTCTCGCATGGCACGCAAGTTTACTCAGAACCCTCAGTAAACTAGTCCAACATTTAATGGATTCAACAATGCAATTGAACTACAAGAACATAATAAGAACCCTTAACCGGAAAGTTGTAGTGTGAAATCCGGCGAGGCAAGCCAAACGTCGCTATCTATTTCATACAGAGACTGAATACGTAATGAATAACTTGGAAATATTATCTCTCTCAAAAGTTATTATTACCATCAAGCACACACAAGAGGTGGAAAATAATCTATGAGAGTTTAAAGGTAATAGATAATAATTTATATAGCAAAGGTAATTAATAGTAGCCAAGTTTGTTGCACGGGTAAAAGAACGAACTCTGTACACATGGACGTACCAAGACACGCTATTGTAGACGAACAAAGTACTTAATTATTAATTTGTACTCTTACAAGATGCTTTCCAATATCTTACTCGAGAACACCAATGCTTACACAAGACCATCTCACAACGCCCTTAACGATCTAACTAAATACATATAACAACTTACTATCACCACCACCACCACCATCACCACCAACACCACATCCTGCATCACGTGTCATCTACGGATACATTAGTATTCGTCAATGCTATTCGTACCTAAGGAACTGGTAACGAGAGTTACCGTCAGTAGACGAAGAGTTTAATAACATTCACAACGTCGCTGCCGACGGCATTTTCAGTCAAAGCTGATACCATCCTTTTAAACCACATCGATAACAACGTAATAATTATAATCAACGAAATCTAACACAACATTAACATGAGTAACATCACCATCAACCCAACCTAAGTCAATCATCATACTTTATAATAAAATACACCATATACACACTCATTCGCCAAATTTTCAATATACCCACTTCACCAGCACTACATCCTCCCCAACCGTTGTTGCAACCCACTTAGAGGAAGGTTTCCTCTAAAGGTTCCCACAGAAAGTTTCTTCTGAAAGTTCCTCTAGTAAATAACTTCTGATTGAGCAAAATCACGGACGCTGCAATGCACACCAGCGAGCGACGTTCACATGAAAGCTTCGAGGTGCAACACAAACGAGGCAGCAACCAGTCCCAGAAATGCGACAGTTCTGATGCGTCAAACTTGGGTCCTGGTCTCATTAATTGCACAACAAGAAATCAATGGAAATAGTGACACATCTGCTTAGTCCTGGAAGCTAGGTGCGGGATTAGAAAAACGGAAGCTATACGTGGGAATTAGTGCCTCACTTTGAGCCAGAAATAATATTTCATCTGCGTCATTATGGCTACTTTTTTCAAATTCCGCAGTCACACAACAAAATTAATTTCAATACTCACATTGATTGGCAAGTACTATCAAAAATAATTATGAGTTCGTAACTTCATCAGCCAATGGCGCAATCCCTGATGTATTTTCAAGCTAAACCCACCAATCACAGACGAGGAATCGGCGTGATTGTTGCACTTAGGCCACAAGATTACTTCAGCAAGATTACAGAGAACGGCTCCTGGACGCTGCGAGCCGCGCTCAAGAGTATGCAAAGCTCCAAGAACAAAGCACACAAAATACAAAGTATTTTACATTGTTCGAGCAAGCAACGACTACCAGTAAACATAATTTATCCAATGAGTAACGCACACACATGTTCTTACGATATATTTTAAGTATAATTATACACAGGCTTGATTGCTATGAGTAGTACTGCACTAAGTTATATATAACGAGCATCATTAGTTTTCATTTTCTGAAATCTACGAACAAGGTACACCGTTAGCAAACGGCATTAAACTTGAAGCTAAATGAGATTTGACTGCAGTTCACTGAGTTGCAGTCAATAAAAAAGAAACGCAAAGAGCCCAATATTGAGGTAAACGAAATATATTCGCAAACGCGGTCGAGACGCTGCGCTACTCAGGGGCGCTGCTCTTCTTCTTGCGGTCTTTGGTGTTGGTGGAGGAAGCCTTGCCGTTACCTGGTCCAGCAGCACCACCTCCTCCCCCACTACCCCCACCACTTCCACCCCCTCCACCAGAGCCGTTATTGGAGTTACTCTGCGTGGCGTCGTCGGGGGTGACGACGTAGGGCCGCCAGTTGAGGTAGCGATCGTCGATCTCAGCGTGATCCTGACGTCGCTTCTTGCGTCGCGCCACGAACTCCTCCAGCAGATCCTGCGAGATCAGCGATAACTGCCATAGTTACCGTGATAACTGCCATAGTTACGGCGATAACTGCCATAGTTACTGCAAAAACTAGTGACTGATAACACAGCCATACGTAGGTACTGCAAAACTGGTCATAGTTACTGCGTAAATTGTCATAATTACTATAATAACGATAAAATGAATGTGTATTCATTTTAGTAATGCAAGAAGGATGACATCAAAGGAGTGTCTCTATCGCACGATGGACTGACCTGGCGCTTGAGGAGGATATGCTTCCCCTTCCAGTACTTCATCATGCCCATGTACTGGAACGTACTCACGATGTCGTACGAGTTCACGGCCATCTCAGCACTCATGTCTGCATCACGTAAAACATACAAGCATAAATAATCCTCATTTCGTAACTGTTGACTCAAAGATGATGCAAGACAGAACTAAGCCAGTAATCTCAAAAAGCTCTTCTTACTTTGTAACGAAAAATAACACAGTTCCAGGGCACAAAGGGCTTCTAACCCACAGATATTTCTGTCATAGGAGAACAATAGAGGAAGAGGTTGCGTTGTATTACCTTTGATGGAGATGTTGGGGTCGGAGTAGCTGGAGAGGTAGTTGAGTAGCAGGTCTTTCCAATAAGACCTGTAGGAGATCAGCCCCAGGTCACTCAGAGGCTTCTCCGGCGACCCGATCTTGCCTTCCTCTCGCGTCAGCAGGTAACCTGTTGGGGTTCATGGGGCGTACAGTGCTATCAAAAATACTTACGAGTTTATATTTTGTTCTGTTATGGGGCGTACCGTCAGCCAATCACTGACGGATTTTTAAGCAAAATCCACCAATCACAGACTGTAAAACGGCCGTCCCGAGTATTTAAGTGAGTTTTGGCCGCAGGACAACAATTTAGGACAGGATTCATGGGCAAAATCCCAGAGGGAAAGTTCACAGAAAATTGTACAGCACAATCAAATGAATTACTAAGAATAAAGACATTCGGGCTTGAAAACTAATAAATTCACATGTGAACACGACAAAAATTAACACCAGCGGATATCAGGATAAATAATAGCTCATGAACAAGATGACGATAATCATGGTTAATAAGCGACTGACGCACTGAAGTCGATGAGAAGGCGACCAAAGCCTTTGCGCTGGTAGGGCGGCAGCGTCATGATGCACGACACGTTGTAGTTCAGAAAGCTGTTCTTCTCCTGCATAGGAGGGAATGGGCGGTTATTTGAGTATTAAATTAGAATATTTTATTAACAATATACAGGGACATTTTCTAGCAAGCAGCAACGCTTGGTTAAAAGAAAGTCAGCTCCTGTAAACGTAGGTCTTAAAAATTGCTCCAAGGTAAATATAATTTGAGATTGGTGCTTCATAATTTATTCAGTGTTTTGTATCAGATATTATGTATATTATTTGTTGCTAGAAAGCATTTCTATCTTCAAGCCTTTACATATGCCATCATGGCACTCTTGCACTCAGTTTTACTTTAGTTAACATGCCAAGATTTATGCTAATTATCATTCAAGTTTATCGTTTTTGCATATGACTTTTAAAAATATTAAATTATTCAGCGAGGTACGCTCGATCATCACAATTATGAGTGGGAATGTGAGAGGACTGAGGCGAGTGTCAATACGAAGTGGCATCACAACGTCAGGTGGCATCACAACGCCAAGTGGCATCACAACGTCAGGTGGCATCACAACGTCAGGTGGCAACACAACGCCAAGTGGCAACACAACGCCAAGTGGCATCACAACGACAGGTGGCATCACAACGTCAGGTGGCATCACAACACCAAGTGGCATCACAACACCAAGTGGCATCACAACGTCAAGTGGCATCACAACGTCAAGTGGCATCACAAAGCCAAGTGGCATCACAACGTCAAGTGGCATCCTAACGCCACGTGGCATCACCTTGCTGAAGTATCCGATGATATGGCAGCCCTCGTGGTCACCAAGCGTCATGATGTAGAACAAGAACGGCTCCACGTCGAAGTAGAGCGTCTTGTGGTCGAGGAATAGCATCGCTAGAAGGCACAAATTCTGGCAATACGTTTTGTATTTCTTGCCGTCCACTTCCCATACTGATAACTTGTCTTTCCTGCAATGATAAAGCAATTTGAACAATGATTAATTTTGTTGTGCCAATGGTTAATACGTACCTCTCAGTCCTTAGTTTGTTGTCTCAGTCTCAATTCAACAAGCTACAACTTCAGCCCCAATGATATTCCTACCGTAACTTGGAGAATTAAAAATTGCAACTCAGTAACACTTCAACAAACTCCAATTTTTAATGCTATTCCTACCTGAAGTGACCGGTACTCACCTGTAAATTTCATCGCCAGGCGGGTGCCGCCACACGCACTTGGCCATGTGTCTGTGCAGGACGGTTTTACTCCGCATGTACTTCAGACAGAACTCGCACACGTAAATCTTAGGCTGGTGGTTGTACTGGTCGGGATACTGGGACTGGTACCAGGCCTCCATCTCGTAGTGACCCATCTCCAGGTACCTGATGCCCTTGGTGTCGGGCAATCCCCGCAGGTCGTCCTCCTGAAAAGGCGAGTGATTTTGTTTCCTGAACCTGCCATCAGGGGTACATTATTCAGCGACATATTTAAAGGGGGTTACGTTTTTATTATCGAATAAATCGGTGAAATTGGCAGTAATTTCCAGGCGGGTGACGTTAGTGACAGGCAGATCGGGTGCAGTGATCGTCCGGAAGTAGAGAGAGAAACAATTACAAAGCCGTAAGGAGCAATAAGCGATAAAAAACACCTACAGAATGACAATTAATCTCGATTTGTTCCTGGACTCTGGCAAAAAATTAAGCATTGAGCACGATAACAATGAAATCTTTGCCAGCAACAACTGCGGCGTGACACACATTAGCAACTGAAGCATTACACGCAACAGCAACTGAGGCCAGAACTCACAATAATAATAGAGGCGCGCTGCTGGGCCTCTTGGAAGAGGCGCAGGTCCCAGGCCGGGCTGTGTCCCGTCAGGGCTGGCTGGCGGTCGCTGTCGGCAAGCTCTTCCTCCTCCCCCGGCAGCGCCTCCGACATCGTCGCGCGCTCCTCCCGGATCTACAGGACGTCATATGCTCAGTATTGAGATCACTTCAAATTAATTTTCAAATACCCTTTCCTTCACATTTAAATTTATGGCCGTAGTTAGTTAGTTAGTTTAGTGGCCACATGTTTACTAGCGCTTCAGCTATTTAGCTACCTCGCACCGAAAGTCATGTTGAACATCACCAAAGAGGTGGAAGGCCTCAATTATCAAAAGTTTCTCAAATCAAAAATAGGTCATCACCCACAAGGGCTGGAAGGTCTCAGATGTCCAGCCCGCTGAAGCTGGCTCGAAAGAAGCAGCGTTAGCATCTCAAAGAGACGAAGTGACAAGGAGGGACAGGTGAAAAGTAACAAACTAAGACGCTCGAACAAGAGGTCGCTTACACGGGACGTCGGCCGCCTGCACGAGAGAGACAGAGAAGGGAAATGTAAGGAATCCTACCTACATAATAACTTAACCCCACAAGCCACAACTGAGATCTGCAGTCAGACACCACGAGCTCAGCGGTGGGGCGCTCAAGAACAATCCCCCTAGGAACGCGAAATCCCATAGGACTTCTGACGAGCACAGACATGCGTCAGAAGTCCCCCTTGAGGGGATTTATGGCCGTATGTAGTACAGAGGATGCTGAAAGGACGTAATTTTAGGATGGCAGAATTTGTTCTTTTAAACATGTTTGATTGAACCCGGAGAATAAGTTTTATTGATAACTTTCTTGCCTTTTTTTTAATAAGTTGAATATTATTTTCATTGATGAGTACATTCGGTATCGTGGAAATTTATGACTGTGGATATTTCGTACCGTCAATATTAATACCGGTAATTGTGATAATTTAGTAGCATGGACCTTTACAGCGGGGGGTAACCGGTACCATGGACATATGATATAATATTTCCAATATGTATTAATATTCTGCAAAGTGGATATCTATAACCGTGCTTATCTAGCACTTTAGATATTCTGAGATACTTGGAATTTAATTATCATTAGATTATTAATTTACAAATAAATTAATAATAAAATAAAGTTTATATAACTACAAAGCGACAGAAAGTTTTAAGTCATCAGCCTATCACTAGGACTGTTGCGAGCTGCTAGCGAACTGCTGCACACCGCGCCCGTGTGCCGTATGAGGTACCACACGGTACCTTGTTGCAGTGGTACCACACGGTACCTTTTTGCAGTGGTACCACAAGGCACCACACGGTACCTTGTTGCAGTGTTACCACACGGTACCTTGTTGCAGTGGTAAGACAAGGCACCACACGGTACTTTGTTGCAGTGGTACCACAAGTCACCACACGGTACTTTGTTGCAGTGGTACCACAAGTCACCACACGGTACTTTGTTGCAGTGGTACCACAAGGCACCACACGGTACTTTGTTGCAGTGGTACCACAAGGTACCACACGGTACTTTGTTGCAGTGGTACCACAAGGTACCACACGGTACCTTGTTGCAGCGTTACCACACGGTACCACAAGGCACCACACGGTACCTTGTTGCAGTAGGCCCGCTGCTCGGCGGTGACGCGGGGGCTCTTCTTGGCCATGATGTCCCGGGCCTTGAGACGCTCCTCCTCCGCCTGCAGCCACGCCTCGCGGTCAGCCTTCAACCGTCAACAACAACATATAATTAGAAATATGAACAATAAATACTTTTATTAATAAACAATCATTGATGAAAAATATAATTAAGGAATTATCATTGATGAAAACTATAATGAATGCTGTAAAACTACAATATTATCAAAACAACTAAAGCCCTATTGCGCTATATCAATGTATTGAGTTTTTGAAAAATTGAATTTTATAACGTGTTACTAGTCACGTCTAAGCTTACTTTACAATACAGGAAACGACATAAATTTTTAAATATGAAAACAGGTGTCTGCCACATTACCCTTTTATATCGAGTCACGAGTTATCTCTACTTTAGGTAATTAAATTACGTAATGTACGTCTGACTTCTTGGTCCACTTAATGCCAGGTTAGAAAGTACATTGCATTACATTGATAAACACTGCAGAGGGCATAAGTGCTCATCAGAGGGGATGAGTGCACTGCAGAGTACAGGAAGTAAATCGAACAGTGCAGAAGTATGCTGTAGCATACAGTAAATAGAGTGCATGGTCACTGGAGCACCTTGCATTTTTCAGGCGTGGTGTTGTGGAAGATTGGGCAAGCTTCGACCGTGAAGTGGCGAGGGTGGGCGCCCCCCAGGTGCCCCAGGGAGTTGCAGCCGTCCACGGGGCACGACCGCTTCTCGATGGGCCGCGGGGGCGTCAGCTCGCACATCATTCCAATCTGCAATGAAAAATGTCATGTATAAATAAGTATTAAATAAGCATAAATTCAGCAGAGAGCCCTGCATAAATTCAGCACCGAACCAGCATACTATAAAATAGTATGCGGGTTCGGTAAGTAGTGAGAAAGAATAAGCGTATGCTTGTTATTATTGAGAGATAACAGATCAGTTAAACACAACACGATAAGCAGGGTAGCAATATGAGCAGCACATTTCTAGTGTTGTGCGCTAATTATAACGAGATTTGAGCTTGAGACACGACGCCGAGCAGAGAGCCAGGAGCCTGAGACAGTGACAGGAGCCTGAGACAGTGACAGGAGCCTGAGACAGGGGCAGGACCCTGAGATAGGCGACAGAGACAGGGTAGGAGCCTGAGACAGGCGACATAGACAGAGACAGTGACAGGAGCCTGAGACAGGCGACAGAGACAGTGACAGGAGCCTGAGACAGGCGACAGAGACAGTGCCAGGAGCCTGAGACAGTGACAGGAGCCTGAGACAGGCAACAGAGACAGTGACAGGAGCCTGAGACAGGCGACAGAGACAGGGGGAAGACCTTGTCATCAGACAGGGGCGTGCGGTTGGGCGTCTTCTTGCTGGCGGCGAGCAGCGCACGCGACGCTCCCGGCAAGGCGTCGTGGCGCTTGCTGCGCGGGGCACCGCTGCGGCGGCCGCTCTTGCTGGCACCTGTCGGGTGAAAGTTTGTTAGGAGGGGAGGCTGATGCTACATTCTCGACCTCGGTTTTGATGTATTAACTCGAAAATTCACGAGTAATTTAGGAAATTATCCACGAGGCATTAGTTTACAACTAATACACTCACAGCTATTTCCAATACCTTCACTCACCATTTTTTACAAATTATTCACTGAACGTTACTCACAACCCTTTAATTCACTAACCGCGACTCACGACGCGTTCACTCGCCACACCACAACTCATCATTCACCGTCACATACAACACGTTCACTAGCTCCTTCATAACTGTCACTGTCACATACAACACGTTCACTAGCTCCTTCATAACTGTCACATACAACACGTTCACCAGCTCCTTCATAACTGTCACTGTCACATACAGCACGCTTACACACCATTATTTTCAGACTCAGAGTCAGTGCCCTTGCTGATGCCAAGCAAGTTGCTACGCTTGGACTTGACGCTGGACGAGCGGGTTAAGTGCTTCCGAGGGGTCTCCGTTTCCCCTCCTTCTCCCTCTTTCTCAGTTTCATCAGATTCGTTGTTCTCAGATTCGTCTTTATCAAAAGGTCTGCGTGCCGTCAGCCGCCGCTCTGAGGACGGCTTGCGCTGGTGATGCCCACTGGACGGCGACGACTTCTGACGCTGACTTGATGATTCTCCTGACGATTCACTGGAAGAATCTCCACTTTCACTTCCTGCAAAATCAAAATGGGAATTCGAAAAATGATTGAATGATCAGGTTATTTTGATCTTTAAAATGAAATATCAGTTTATCAAAGTTATTTCTTTTTGAAACTACCGATAGCAAACAGCAATAGATTTTGATTAGCAATCCTTTGGTTACGGTAACGGTTTACAAACTGATGTAAAGTAATTCCTGGATAACAGATCTATTCTCGGGATTAATGGATTTTGAGGGCTAAATTTAGTCAAATTCATCAAAGATGACAACATAAGTGAGTGCAACCTGATTATTGGGTAACAAGTTGGAACTGTTTGCGACCTCAGGGAGATGCTATGAGAGAATGGTGAAAAGACAATGCATTGCTGCCCTTAGGAGGGACGGACGAATATAACTAATTATATGGAACTTAAGAACAATGCTTTAAGAAGATCAAGAGCAACAGCAATAAAATGTCAGTCCCAAAGGACAATGAAAGTGTAAAGTAAACCCATGACACGAAAATATAACTTGTCACACATGCCATAAAACTAGGGAAGAAAACGCACCCGAGGACCCAGAAGAAGAGTTGGTAGAAGATTCAGACGACTTGGTAGTGGTTTTGTCTCTGGCTTTCTTGCCCTTCGAAGGAGTCACCACCTCCTTTTGCTTGAGTTTCGATGAAGACTTTGACTGTACAGCCTGGGCGAGGGCAGACTTAGTGGTGTGTGTGGGTTTACTGTGTTTATTACGGTGCTTTGCTGCACTATCGCTTGATGTCATCGCACGCTGGACGATGGAGGCGCTTTTGACAGGAGTAGACTTGGTTTCAGAAGGAGGCTCTTTGGACGACTTGCTGCTACTCTCGCTGCGGAATGAAGACGAGTGCTTCGAAAATGCGGATTTCGGGAGCGATCGAGCGTTGGTTCTTTTGCCAGAGCGACGCTCTCGACTTTCGCTGTCGTCACTTTTCTCGACCCTTTCTTCATCTTCATCATTGCTTTCACTGCTACTTTTTTCAGTGCTTGAGTCCCGTAATTTACGATCAGAAGTCGGAACTTTGGTCTTCTTCCCTGCCAAATGACATTAAATTCACAGGTTGGGCTAGGAGTAAATATTAATTTCCTTCAACACAACAAGAATGCAAACTTTATCATTAAGTGTAAAATTAAAGTAATCAACGTCGTTAATTAAAGCTTTAATAAAACACCTCAACATATTGTTTCTACAATTTCTAGAATGAAATGCATTCAATTGTTTGTAAACTAGTCAGGTACCTTTGAGCTTTTTCTCTCATTCTATTAAAAGACAATAATCAGAGGCCGTCGACTACATACTATACTTGTCAATAGTTATCTAAGATAATTAGCTTCCTACCATACCTGTGAACGTTCCTTCTTGCATCCATTCTCACATTTACTTGCTTGCATCTACTCACCAACTGGCGTCTTCTTGGATGCGGCGGTGCTCACTGGAGTCTTTTTGGACGCCGCAGCTTTAGTGCCGGTGCTGCCCCGCTGCTGCTGTGGCTGCTTAGCTTTGCTGGACGCCGCACGTGGGGGCGCTACAGGCGCCTTATTGCGGCTGCCCGCATTCTTGAGAGGAGTGGCGACGGTTTTGGCTGATTTCCGTTGCGTGGATGGAACAGTAACGCTATTCTTACGGGAAGACGAGGAGGAAGAAGATGGCAAAGAAGAGTTTGAAGAAGACAGCAGTTGTTGTTTGGAAGTGGGAGTCTTGGTTTTGTTCGAGCCACTCCTCTTGGCTGGTTTGCTTACTTCTTGTTCTGACTCTGATGAAGCTCTGTAGTGTAGGGAAGTAATAATTACAAGGAAAGAAGAATGCTGCGCAGATAATAAAATGTAGAAAATGATAAGTGTACCGAGTGTGGCAATAAATTATTTGATGACAAGAAAAGCACTTGAACATGCAAGGGGAAAATATACATGATTCTTGGGATCTGCTGATAAAATAACTTACTGATCAGGTGATGAATAACATGAAAGTGAGACGATTTACCCGACACTTTAGACCAAATTGAACCGATAATTAAACACAGCTAGACCACACACACACATTTGTGGTTATTGTATATTTCAATTTACAACTCATACATGAAGCTCAAGTGATGATGAAGCTAAACAAATACTAAAATAAAATGAAGTTACATTAATATAAGTATTTATGCAAGTGGTGAGAATGTTATCTGAAGAAGTAGTTATCTAGAATTACATGGTAAGGGACATGAACTACATTAAACATTCAAAATGAAACTTTGAAAATATGCTAAGATAAAAAAGAAATGCTTTATGCTTTAAAAGAACACAAACCTTTCAAATCAATAACTGAGGATAAGGATCAGTGATCAGGATAAATTGTAAAATGAAAAATTTATAAGGTAAAAAAGACAGGGGAGGAATTGAAGGAAATAAAAAATAAGCATAACCACATGGCAAAAATATAAATGAATATAATAATCAAATTAATTGAGTACAATAATATCTCATGCAACAGACATATGGTAATCACAAACATGAATTTAGAAACTCTTCAAAGCTAAATTCAGAAGGTTAGTCACTAGTATACCTATATCTATATTAATTACCTATTACAATAATTGTTTTGATATATTTGCAAAGAACTGAAGCGTCAATGAATTTATGAAATGATCAAGCTAATTTTTGTTTGGAGGTAAAGTTTGTTGTCGGAAATTTGTTGTAAACCATTCAAAGAATTAGACTGCAGCCCAACAATCAAGCTATTCAGGAACATTTGTTGGTTGCTGTGAGATATTAACAACATCAAAAAGCGTGAATATGGCAAATATGACATTTATGTGACAATGGCAACTATCAGATTGATAAAGTGACAACGGCAACTCACATTAGTTAAGTAAAAAATTGATAGTTGCCATAAGTCTGCAACTAAATTTACTTGACTACTGAATTAGTCACAAATTGAGGAAGCAGCTCAGAGTACCTGGTCTTGAGGGGACCCGAAGGGGTGTCGGAACACCGGCCTTTGCTGGAGGAGGAGGAGGAGGAAGGGGAGGAGGGGGGAAGGGTTTTGTGGGGGGTAGTTTCAGGGTCACTAGAAGCAGGGTGGGAGGCAGCCCGACTCCTGCCCCCATTAAAAATAAATAACCAAGGAATGAATAACAAAAATGTAATGAAGGAAATCACCGTATCAATAAAAAAATATACTTAGGAGATACATACAATATTTTCAGGCAAAATTGAGTTTCAAAAAAAAAAAAAAACAGATCTAATGAAAACATTTGGAATAGCAGGAGGAAGTATGGGTGCATATAATTAACTGACTAAAGTAAAAGTAAACATAATCACACAAACTACTTCATTAATATTTGATGTGACACAAACCATATGAAGATGTATCAAGAAAATAAACATAATAGAAAAATTAAAACAATTAAAAAAGCATCACAATATAACAAAGAAAAAGAATACTAGAATACTGAAAGTAATGAAGAAATATTAAAAATGGGCTAGAAGAAAAGGATCATAAAAATAGTGAATGCAGCTATAAATAATGTTATATGTATAGAAGAACCCTGGATATCAAGGCTACAGAAATTACCTTGTGGACACAGCAGATGATTGTTCACTATCAGAAGAAGAGGAATTTGATGATGAAGAAGATGAACTGCTTGATGACGATGACTGTGATGATGAGGAGGACTCGCTGGATGAGCTCCCTGAATCAGTGCTGCTCTGCCGTATCTGCAAAATAAATGGTTTGTTCAAAATTGTTACAAAGATTTAAAACAGTTTGAACTGTTTGCTGCTCAGACTGAGTCTTTGGAATTTAAGCATAGTGTTCAAGTTTTTCCACTTCTAAATCAGTAAATAGGAAATTACTTTTTCTACAAGATTTTTTTGGAAAAATCTTTTTGAAATTAACTGACTCGCATACATCCTTGTCAACCAACAGATCGCCTGTATCTGCAGTCGCACTGAAGCTACCACCAAAGGCTCATGCCACACCGCAACCACTCGTGACAAAACAATACTGCACTGCAGTGTCACTACCGCCAGAGCTTTGGAACAACTTGCACAAAAATGAATTACTCCTTGCAACTGTAAGGAGATCGAGATTTGCGAGTGATCACGACGATCACCTCTCGCACATGCCTTGACAAATCTGGTCATAGAGTATCGATTTAATCTATTTCGATCTAGGAGCGGGATATTTTTAGCGACCATGTATAAATGCTTCTTTGAGTTACACCCGCAACTCATTTTCTAGGACCGTTGTCAGCCTATCATAATTTAGTGCATCTAACTGTCAACTCAAACTTCCTATTTTTGTCCATGACATTTTATTCATTGGCATTAATAAATACCAACTATGATCCAGATACTGTTAAATATAAGTTAGCTACATATTCATAAAATTAACACCGAACTAAAGCAACACAAAATCAAGTAACACCAGTTGTCATATTTATTTGCACAAGTGTAATACGGTACATTGTAAAATCTAGTCTCTAAACCTGGATTTATCTAAATAGAACTGCTTCCGTAATTCATTATGCAATATGTATTGGTGATGTGTGTCAGTAATACGTATATAATATATGTGCGAGACTTCACCGTCTTGCGCATATATTTATTGCCGTCTTGCCTAGAGGATTTCAAGCCATGACAGGTAGAATTATTGCTACCATAGTCTGCCTTCCACTGCAGATGGTAATGCCAATTGTACTGCTGTGATTTAATTAAGGAAATTCATGTGTGGCTTCTGCCCAACTTTCCAGTTAGCCATTAGGCACCCTGATCAGGCTGATGGCTGGGTTGCCTAATTCTAATTTTAATATAAGAGGATAATCAAGCAATGAAATTTTAAATTTATTTTGAAAATATGTCAGTTTGGAGTCATCAGCTGCAAGATTTCAGTACTAAGTATGAAATTTCTAGTCTTATATTATATATTAAAGTTAAAATAGACTTGCTATGAAAGGCTTTCATGTTTCAAGTTCCATGATGCTGATGGCATACTCGCATAGTGACAAAGCAGAGAATTTTTTAGACTCTCCCTCAAGTTCATTTTCGAGTCCTAGGGTAAACGCGGTATATTCCGACACATTAAGGACATACCGTAGCAAGAAATGAATGGCTATAAAAATATCACCGTAAGCGAAACTCAAGTCCTGATTGCTTTACGCCACTCTCAAGACACCACACTACGTGCCAGCAATGATGAAACGTCACAAACTGTTGCCATATTTATTTAAAAGCCTTTAGAATTCAAACCTACAAAATCACTGAATTCCGACGCAGTGTGTGACTAAATTTGGCATATTGCAAGACCAATTCTGGCAGCGCTTCAAACTCTATAAATTTGTAATTCCGGGGCCCTGTGTTGGAATTCCAATGCCCTGTGTGAGCTGTATCGGAATACGACACAGCTCAGAACAAGCTTAATTAAAAGATTTTAATTTTTTAATTAAGCTTTTAATTAAGAGCTATTAAACTTTTAATTAGAAAAAATTTAATTTTTGGACACAGCTCAGAATGATCTGTGTGTATCTAATTCCTAGCTGTGTCAGAATTAGTTTTTATGTGTCAAAAAATTGTTGCTTAACTTAATCATCTATTAATTTATTTACTACCTACTACTTGAAATCAGCAAATACAAGTTATACCTAGGATTCCTAATATATTCACAGACTTATTCAAAAGTCTCAAACCATAATATTCTTTCTACACAAACAGTTTATCGTGCCACTATTTGGGAGAGCAAGGTTAACTATCAACTTCTACACGTTTTTCAATGTTCCCTCTGGGTGATGTGCACTGTCTCTCTTTGGATCTTAACATTTTCCTGCCAGATGGCCCAGACCTAATGTTTTGGCAATGGTATGGCGTGCAATAGTATGACGTCACTATTTCAAGTTTTCAACCATCAACAAATGCGTGGAAGTAAGACAAAGCTTAATATAAAGGAAAAAGTTGAGACGTGTTGGAATTACCCATGATGTCGGGATATACCATGTTTACCCTATAAGTATAGGGTAAACGCGGTATATTCCGACATCGTAGGTAATTCCGTCACCTCTCCAGCTTTTCCTTTATATTAAGCTTTGTTTTAGTTCCATGCGTTCATTGATGGTTGAAATGGTGACGTCATACATTTGCGTGTCAAAATACTGCAAAAACACTAGGTCTTGGCNGTAGTAACCGCATACATCAAGGTAAAAGTGCACAGAAAGTCTAAAAATATTTTTACACGAACTCGGATCTCGCTTTGAACAAAAATAGTGAAAATCATGGGGCGAAAATTGTACCTGTTGAATTTTCATTTACCAGGTTTTGATTGTTTTCATAGCCTAAATGAAAAAGTGTAGCTCTGTGGGTTAGAACCTCTTATGGGGCCCAGCAAGTTAAGATATCTGCAGAACATCAATCAGCAAGAGAATCAGTTTGGTGCGAACTTTTTCTAAAAGGCAAGGATAGCATCCTCATAGGGGTCGTGTATATAGATCACCTAACAGTTCCTCTGATTATGGTAAAGTACTAAACAGCCTTTTACCGAGCATAACTTTCAGCAGGTCGCATACGTTGATCGTTGGTGACTTTAACTACCCAGAAATAGACTGACTGATGAATCCTCTCCATGAGATTAGAATAACCCAGTATCCATGTTCTTGGAGTCGGTGCGAGACTCATTTTTAGTCCACACCGAGACTCATAACAGTCCCCAAATATTCTAGATCTAGTGTTCACTAGTGATTAATCAATGTTAGACGAGCTTCGCACGAGGCTCCGTTGGGCAAAAGCCAACACCAATCTTTGTTTTTCAGTATTAAATGCTATGTAGAAAAGACGCTGTGAAAGTGTGATCGTTTGAACTTTGTGAATGGTGACTATGTTAAACTCTGTGATGCATTGAATGCGGCGAATATTTCGGACGGTATTAAGGACATGAATGTAGCTGATTCATGGTCATTTCTCAAAGGCACTTTTATGCCTGCAGTTGATGCATGTTTACTTAAAATTACGATCAGAGAAGTCAAAAAGTCACGGTGGATGAACAGTACAGTTATAGCTCTGTCTCTTATACACATCTAGATGTGTATAAGAGACAGCTGCACAGTGGTGCGCGAACACGTGCGCGAAGATAATCAATTTTCATTACATTGCGCCAACTGTGCCCAGCAATAGCTTAAAAAAAGTGAAAATGCGCGGGAAAATTCACCAAAAACAAACATCATCCTGAGTGTGGCCTACCTAGCGGCCTAGCCTACTTAACATTTAAACCAATTCCTTATGTATGATTTGTATGATAATGCTGGATTGCTGGTAGGCCTATCTATGATATTTACTGGTCTCCCTATAGGACTCAAAAATGAACTTGAAGAGTCTAAAAAAGTCTGCTTTAATACCATCAGCCTCACATCAGGAACGACAGGAAGCTTAGCTGCCATCGCATTTTAGCATGAATCTAGTATGGAATATATCTACTTGGCGAGCCGCGACTGAATTTTTCGAGCCGTGGTTTTATGGATTTGCCAGCCGTGATTCCATTTCTACGAAGCGGAAACGGTAAAGCAATGCGGATTGCGGAAGTTGAAAATTTTATGAAATGACATGTTTGCGAAGTGCAAACCGCGATTTTTTAATCAAACAAAAATTTATGACATTCGAGCCGTGAGATTTCATACCTACTGAAATTATATGATATTAGAGCCGCAATATTTCAGACAAAAATAGGACTTTTCCAGACTAGGCATGAATTAAATACATAATCAATTCAAGGAAATTTACCAGTTTCATTGTAGCAAATTGATATTAGGGCATTTTCTGCTACACCATTTATTCAAAAAACCCGTATTGATTGTCGTAAAATATGTTTTTCAACGCCCCTCATGTCAGTGACACGTTGGCTGAAGTAAAATTGAATTGCTAACATTAACTATTTTACAGATAATGGAGTATGGCCTGTATGTAAACAATGCGACCTTTTTCTTCGTAGTCTCATACAAGGAGGACTCGATTTAAATAATTTCAAAGAAATAGTTCTAGGAGCATACTTGTCGTTCAATAAGTAACTCGAAAACACAAATGATAGCAAACAAGTATAATTGCTGACGTGCGGAGTTCTCCAATGAATGGAAAACTAAGCTAGGCTGCTCATCCTAATATTAATCTCGGGGCTTGTCTCGATTTACGATACAAGCGAGAATATTATGTTATATCATTATGATCATATCATGCCAAAAATAAAGTGACCTGCTTGTCTTTTTTATCTCATAAAGTGGCATAAAGAGAAAATATTTAAATCTAAACACATTGCGATATACAACGAAATTAAACAAAAATATTACACATCACATAAACAATAAAACATTTTACTCAGTTTCATAGCCCTTAATATGAAACCGATCTGCATGAACTAAAGTAATTGATTCAATAAAATGAGAGCGCGACGATCATGGTCATAATTTTTTACCTAATTTTGTATAACTTTAAGTTTTACTTTACTTAATTTCGTATAAATTATAAACGAAGAGACAAAGGAAACACTCTACGGAAAACCGCAATTCTTAAAAAAATCATGATTCAAACTTTCGGCTTCAAATGTCGATGTGGTAGATTTTCATTCGAATTTGTATCGAGACGCTGCGACGTCACTACTTATCGCCATATATATTTAGTTCGGTGTAGGATCTCCAAGCATCCGAAGCGCGTACCGATTCCCCTGACGCTGAGCCTCCCGTATACGAGCTGCCGGCTCGCACACGCGGGGCTGCGCTGTTGGGGGAGGACGAAGAGGTCTCGGGGCACGTAGGCACTATCCCAGCAGGGAATTTTTGGGGATAAATAATTTAAAGTTCGATGATCTATTTAGACTAAGTAATTTTGATTAGTTCTGCAGACTTGCAAGCTACGCAAAAACATTTAAGCTGGATTAACATGAATTTCTCAGTAATATGCAGTGGTGGTGAGAGCAGGCACACGCAATATATTTTTTTGTTCACTCGCAGCAGACGTTCTGCGCAAATAATATGTGATTTGATGCAGTGAAATTACATGCCAATGTTTTTGAAGTTCCAAGCGTTTCTGATGTTCATATTATAACCGACCGATAAGGGTATCTGGTTTCCTTAATTAAATCACAGCAGTACAATTGGCATTACCATCTGGAGTGGAAGGCAGACTATGGTAGCATTAATCCTAACAGTCATGGCTTGAAGTTTACTATGCATGACGGCAATAAATAAATAGGCCATGGGCCTATTTCTTCAACGCCGACACTTCTATTCTAAATATATGCGTGAGACAGTGAGGTCTTGCGCATATAATCAAATATTATATATGCATTACCGACATACATCGGTAATATGCATTTCGTAATGAATTACGGAAGCAGTTCCCCTCTTTAGATAAATCAAGGTTTAGAGACCACATTATACAATGTATTACACTTATGCAAATAAATATGACAACTGGTGTTACTCGATTTTGTATTGCTTTAGTTCGGTGTTAATTTTATGAATATGTAGCTAACTTATATATAACAGTATCTGGATCATAGTTGGTATTTATTAATGCCAATGAATAAAATGTAATGGACAAAAATAGGAAGTTTGAGTTGACAGTTAAATGCACTAAATTATGATAGGCTGACAACGGTCCTAGAAAATGAGTTGCGGGTGTAACTCAAAGAAGCATTTATACATGGTCGCTAAAAATATCCCGCTCCTAGATCGAAATAGATTAAATCGATACTCTATGACCAGTTTTGTCAAGGCGTTTGCGAGAGGTGATCGTCGTGATCACTCGCAAATCTCGATCTCCTTACAGTTGCAAGGAGAAATTCATTTTTGTGCAAGTTGTTCCAAAGCTCTGGCGGTAGTGACACTGCATTGCGGTATTGCTTTATCACGAGTGGTTGCGGTGTGGCATGAGCCTTTGGTGGTAGCTTCAGTGCGACTGCAGAGACATGCGGTCTGTCGGCTGACAAGGATGTATGCGAGTCAGTTGAAGCAGCAGGGCTGACTGGTATCAGGCTTGGAGATCCGGAGGAAGTCCCGGGCATGCATGGTGTAGAGGAAGGCCACGTGTGAAACAGCCTTGGCGTTGACAGGTTTGAACAACCTCCGCATGCAGGCGCAGGGTATAGGGCTACGGCTTGGCGAGCTCCGTTTAGGGGCAGGGTGTAGGGCTACGGCTTGGCGGGCTCCGTACAGGGGCAGGGTGTAGGGCTACGGCTTGGCGGGCTCCATTTAGGGGCAGGGTGTAGGGCTACGGCTAGGCGGGCTCCGTTTAGGGGCAGGGTGTGGGGCTACGGATTGGCGGGCTCCGTTTAGGGGCAGGGTGTAGGACTGTAGGGCTAAGGCTTGGCGTTGGCGGCTCCGTTTAGGGGCAGGGTGAAGGGTTACGGCTTGGCGGGCTCCGTTTAGGGGCAGGGTGTAGGGGTTACGGCTTGGCGGGCTCCGTTTAGGGGCAGCCTCCGTTTACGCGATGCAGTGATCGTTGCTCCCGTGCGGAGTACACGTGAACTCTCTTAAGAGGTCGGTCAGAAGCTACTCATGGTCAGTTAGAGGTGATGGAGGACTAGTAGTTAGTAGGAATGATGTCCGTAGATCATGGCTTGTAAATAATGTAGGAAGTAACCGCATACATCAAATTGAAAGTGCACAAAGAGTTTTAAAATATTTTTAAACGAACTCGGACTCCTTGAACAAAAAAGTGAACTGCTGACTGTGATCGCAAACGAGTGTATAGAAATTATTTGTATTACAGAAACACTCCCTAAAAATCAGGGGGGGGGGAATTGTACCTGTTGAATTTCAGTTGCCAGGTTTCGATTGTTTTCATAACTTAAATGAAGAGCAGTGCAGTAGAGTTGTAGCACTGTGGGTGAACCTCCTTTGGGGCCCAGCAAGTTAAGTTATCGGCAGAGAATCATTCAGCTAGAGAATCAGTGTGGTGCGAACTTACTCTAAAAGGCAAGGATAACCTCCTCATAGGGGTCATTTATAGATCACCGAACATCCTCTGATAACAATAAAGTACTAAACAGCTTTTTACCGAGCATGACTTTCAGAAGGTTGCATACGTTGATAATTGGTGACTTTAACCATCTGAAAATAAACTGGGCAGATGGATCTACTCCAAGAAATGGGAATCACCCAGCATCCCTGTTCTTGGAGCCAAACCATTTTAGGGGAAACAGACCCCAATTATTCTAGATCTAGTGTTTACTAGTGAAGAATCAATGATAGACGAGCTTCGCCATGAGGCTCCGTTGGGCAAAAGCCACCACCAATCATTGTTTTTTCAGTATTAAGTGCTATGCAGAAGAGACGCTTAGGAAACGTGAACGTTTGAACTTCGCGAAAGGCGACAATGACAAACTCCGTGAAGCGGTCAATGCGGCGAATATTTCGGACTGTATCAAGGACATGAATGTGGCTGATTAATGGTCATTTCTCAAAGACACGTTTACGTCTGTAGTTAATGCCTGTATACCTAAGATTACGCTTGGGGGAGTCAAAAAGTCCCAGTGGATGAACAGTACAGTTATAGCTCAGTTAAAGACCAGGGCCTATACTTTCAAAAAAGTTAAGAGATCGTAAGTTTATCAGCCAATCATTGACGGCCTTTCAAGCAAAATCCAATCAATCATAGATAAGAAAATAGAGCGTAAGTACTTACGTTCACTTAGCGAGTTTTGAAAGTATGGTCCCACGAAGGAAGCATACAAGCGTTATTTACGAACTCGCAGCGATTCTGATTATAAGTTATAACCTGTATGCAAGAGCTCGAAATCAAGCTAAAAAAGTCTGTCGCACTGCAGTGAAAAACTTCGAAAGAAATATTGCTAAAAATGCAAAAAAAAATCCGAAAGCCTTCTTTTTGTACGTTAGTTCGAAGTGTAAGATAAACGACGGTATATCTGATTTGAAAGTAGACCAACGGAAGATATCCTCTGATGAGGGCAAGGTTTTGCCGTCAGATTGGAAAGAAGCTCAAGTAACACCTTTGTTCAAAAAAAGTGACAAGTAACCCGGGTAACTATCGCCCTGTCAGTCTGACAAGTGTTATTTGTAAGGTAATGGAATCTGTTGTGAGGGATAGGATTATCGATCACTTGACTGTTCACCATCTCATATCAGATTGTCAACATGGTGTTATTGCCGATAGATTCTGCACCACTAACTTATTGTCTACGTTGAACGATTGGACTCGCCTTTGTAAGATTTACACAGTCTAGTCTGGATTCAATAGCCAAGAAGCTTTGTAAGGTTTTCATTTATTTATTTATTCATTCTCCTGGTAGCAGTAACGACGAAGTAAAATTTGATCAGCAATAGTGATGAAGTAAAATAAGGTTGGCTTGCTCCGAGCGTGGCAAAGTTTAATGGGCTCCAGATGTGGTCTCCCAGGTGCTGCGACGTAGCCGTGACGCCAGACAACGTAGACGTTACGTATAATAAGTAACGTAGCACGGAGGAAAGGCTCGTCTACAGCACTGGACCCGAAACTTGAAAACGTAGATACTAAAAAGGCATAAACATTATCTCAGTCAGGTTCATACAGGATTTGACTATAAAATTAATAATCAGCAATTTCAGCAGCAAAGATCAAATTAACTCAGAATCCTTCCACTGACCTGAGGTTTATAATGTCCAGTGTTACGACTTTACGAAAATAGAATGAATGAAGAGTTTAATTTGAGAAATTTAGAGGAAATCAGCTAGAGGAGTAGGAAGTTGGACGGAAAAAGACAGCATGAATAGCTAAAGGTTTCACTGCGTGTTGAAAGAAGATGAAAGACTTAAATTAGGATTGCACGGCAAAAATAGAACTATTGATATTCGATAAACTTCAATTATACTTTGAAATGATTTAAAATATTTGATTTAATTTGATACGTATTTAGCAACCATATATTTAATAATTGATATATATTTGATATAGATAATAAAATAAATTTAATATATATATTTGAAATTAACTTAAAGTTTGCTATAGATTTGCAATATATTAGATATTAATTTGATGTAAATTTGCTTTGAATGATTA